AGAAACAGAGATTGATGCTTCAGAACCAGAATATGGAAATAGATCTATGAAAGCCACCTGAACCCAAAGAACCTGCTGAGCAACCGCAGATAGTTCCTGTGAAGAACAGCTGGTCCTCTGATTAGAAAATTAGATTTTTTTATCTGTGCCATTATAGGTATATCTGGACAGGTACAGGTACACCTGGATGGGTACAGGTATATCTGGATGGGTACAGGTATATCTGGACAGGTACAGGTATATCTGGATGGGTACAGGTACACCTGGACGGGTACAGGTATATCTGGACAGGTACAGGTACACCTGGTAGGGTACAGGTATATCTGGACGGGTACAGGTACACCTGGACGGGTACAGATATATCTGGACAGGTACAGGTGTATCTGGACCCCTACAGGGTAAAGCAAAGACAGATTGATTCCATCAAGAGTCTTGTCAACCTGATCGGCTTTCTGAATGCGGACGGTTCGAGTGCTGAATGTTCCACATTCCAACAATAAACATGTTCTAACAGATGATGACCATCCTAGAGCTAAGAACTGTATTTTAATGAGGTGATATTCTATAACTAGAATAGCAGTGTGTTTGGTTTCTCGTGAGATATAGTTCTATGTTTGTCTTGTCTTGGTTTTTCAGCTCTACGTTTCTGTGCTTTAGGATTTTGTGTCCCTTATTTCCGGCAGACTTTCTTCCTTTCAGGCTGTTTTTGTTTTCTGTTGAGCAGCTGTAACTTCTTGGATTCTGAAGCTTATTACCTTTAACCTTCATATTTATCTGTATTGGTTAAAATGCCTCAAACTCTGTTCAGTCTAGTTCTATTAAAGTTGATCAGAACCGATCTAGTTTATCCTTGATTTCCTCCCTGATTGGATCTTTGATTCAGAGCTAAGCAGCTTTTTAGTTGCAGACCCTTCATCCTACCTGCCCTGGCATCTAGCATGAGCTCCATCAAAGGTGCTGAAATGTCAGCTGCTGACTTGCCTCTGATCCGTTGGGCTGGGGTGCCGCTCAGAAGAACCGTCCCTCCGATCAGCAGAAGCATGAAGACTCTGAGGAGGAGCGTGATGCCCGCCATGACCTTTAAAAGCTTCTAGGACACACAGATGATGATGATGATGATGATGATGATGATGAAAAGGAGGATGGAGAAGTGGAAGAGCAACTAGGAGCTGGACAACTTCACTAAGGGTCTTTCTGAGCAGTAGACTTAGGACTTGTTCAGCTGTGGGACGTCCGCGCTGTGAGTCGAGGTCCAGTGCATCACCCCCATCTATAGGCTGGGCAGGTGGGCGTGGCCTGAACCACAGCCAGCTCTGCCTGGTCTCCCTCCTCCCTCCGCCTGCAGAGCGCTGGACCTGACTTTGCTCCGCTCCTCCTTCTGCTCTCTGGTTTCCCTCCTTTTGTGTTTCCTGCTTTTAGGTGGTTTTACAGAAGGTTTTGTTCTCTTCTGTTCTCAGACGTCCAAACAGAAACTATTGGTCATTATAAAACCTTTTAGTACAAATGATGTCTCTGATGGAGCAATAATCAACTACAGATGTTTTCTCGATTATATCAGAAGTATCTTGATCTTTGGGATGTAGATATAAAGTGTTTTTGTCGCTATATGGATGTTTGGTTGGTTTTGTTTTCTCTTTTTTACTGTTTTTTTAATCTTTTGTTCGTTTTGTCTCGTTCTGGATGATGATTGTTGATCAAGCAGGAACACCATCAAATGTTTTGGGGTTAAAATGCGTATTATTGCCTGCAGCCTTACTTCATTTTATTTTTGGGGGGTCTCCTGGCTGTGTGTTTTGCATCACTCTGTGGTTGTTCTGCATGTCTGGGAACATTTCGCAGTGTTGGAGTGATTTGGATTGACCCTATTAATTTTTTTATCCGTTTTTTTCTTCCTTAGATGATTCTCTGTTTTTCCCCCTGTGGTGTTTATTTATGTGAACTGTTTACCAGAAGAACCTCAGCAGGGGTCAGGTTAACCCAATCAGACCTTGGGGTCACTCATTAACTCCTCATGGTGCGCAGAGAGCCTAATGCAGCACAGTGTTATGGATGGTGCCTGTGGAGGGCGGGCCCTCAGTGTGAACACGGCAGGATTACTGAATTAACCGTCTAATTATGGCCACATGTTGGAGCTGAATCGCTCCATTGATGTCCCTGAATTTTGGCTCCACAAGCTGCAGCTGGATGTGTCCGGGTGGAGCTGCGAGGTTTAGAGCAGAAGGAATGAGAGGAATGTAATCTCCTCAGCCGAGGGTGTTAATGAGTTCACACAGAGAAGACCAGACATGAAGCAGAGCATGCTGGGAACATCACAACATGTCCGTTTGCTTAACACGTGCATCCAGAAAGGCTGACCTGCTTTATCCAAGCTGGAGAGACTGGAGCCCGAAAGAACGGATGATGGTGGTGATGATGATGATGATGATGATGATGATGATGATGATGATGATGATGATGATGATGATGATGATGATGATGATGATGATGATGATGATGATGATGATGATGATGATGGTGGTGGTGAGGCCTGGGGGGAACAGCCAGAGGTTGGCGGGGATTCTGGGTTCAGTGGACCCAACACGTGCCGTCACATGCGACAGGAAAAAGGCGAGGTGGAGCGAAGCAGCTTGATGCCAAACAGCAGCGAAAGTAAAAACGGTTCATGTAGAAAATGATGATAGATGAGATTAGTGGAAGAAAGATCCAGAGATGAGAACAAATCTTAGAAATATTCCAAATCAAACCAAAACACTACTGGGGTTTTATTTAATCTGATCGGCATAAAGGAGAAGAATCCTGCACCCAGTGGCCAAACGTGGAACTGCAGCGAAATACATTTTTATACTCTAAAATGAAAATGCTGCTCCAATCTACATGAATTGTTTCTATGGGTAACAAGTCAATCAAATTTTATCCAATTGATTAAATAAGTTTATAAGTTGAAAATTCCAACTCACTGCGTTTGGGAAACTTAATTCAAAAAAGCATTTCACTGACAAAAAGCTTAATTAGGGCTTTTGTGGTGTTTGTAGTTTCTTGCTGTCGTCCTCGAAACGCTGGAGGACTTTTAGAAAGTCCTGCAGGTTGGATCCATTTCTGCTGCTTCTGCAAACAGATCATAGATAATTAGACCTGCAACACTTATAAGTAATCGCTACAATATTTGAAAATATTATAATTATCATATATTATAATATTATTAAAATATAATTATAATATAGTATAATAATTTAAATGTATTTCAATATGTAAAATAATAGATATTATTTGCCCAACTTGCTGGGTTAATTAATTATCCAGCATTTTTTACAGTGTGGATTATTCCCACTTCTATAGAAGCAGTTTTAACAGTAATTGTGTAAAACTTAAGATGTTTCTAAAAAAATTAAAGCTAAAATATTATAACTTTCAAACCATCTGATGGTTAAAAAACCTCAATAATTGGACTAAAACCAATAAAGACGTGTTGTTGTGCTTATATATAATTATTTATTAATTAATTAAGGAAAAGGTTTTTTTTGCTGATTATTTGGTGTTTGATTAAAGTACGATAAATGTTGATTAATTACAGACTTTGTAATTAACTCGATTAAAAACTTGAATCACGTCCGACCACTAATTATTCTCCTTTATCGATAGATTGGTGTAACTTTATATTAACTTATTGGCTGAATGGTTTTAATGGCTTCTCTGACTGACCGTTCCTGTCTTCAGGTGTTGCTTATCTTTGGTGGCCAAGCGAAGGTCAGAGAGCTGCAGAAAGCACGAGACAAACTTCTTCCTAAGACATGATGAGGCTGATCACTCAGCATCCAGTGGTTGATGTTTTATAGCAGAACCAGCTGTTCCACAGACACACGTCTCCATTATGTGAGGTTGTTGTTTGCCTTAAAGCAGCAGAGCGCCTCAAACACTCCCACATAAACCAGCAGAGAGGCTCCATGGGCTCCACTAATGAAAACACTCTGTTAGTCCACACAGACCCACAGCCTGAAGCTCATCAGGATAACAATGTTAACTCTGATGCCAAGTGGGCCAAAGAGTTTTTGTTTTCCTAAAACCAATGACTATTCCGCTCTAACAGAAAAACCTCTTCATTGAGGTTTTTAGAACAAACTCATAAACACTGCAGTCTAATCAGAACCAGCCTTTCTGCTCCATGTTTAAACCCTGATGTTCAGTTCCAGCAGGCGGGAACAGAACATCTAATCCTAGAAATTACACGTTTTTATTTGGAACCTTTCAGAATAAACCTTGATCAAAGTAGGTCCAATGTAAACAGTAGGGATATGAGTTCAAACAGAAATATTCTGAATAAAGTGACAAACTGAAACCAAATAGTCATGGTTTATAAAAAGTCCCAATTATGAGGTCCAGAAGTGATGTTTGGTCACATGACCTCCGTAAGAAGAACCATCCTCCTGCTGTATAAGAGCAAGAGCAGCATACTTCCCAAAAAAAGCGTAATTAAAATAGTAAACCGACTTTAGATTCAATTCTTATTATTCTAAGTTTGCTCTGCTTGGTGTGGATGCGTCTCAAAGCTGAACTCAACCATAGAAGAAACATTTATATTTAGGTTGATAACTTGTTCAATTTTTCAGTTGGGTCCTCACAAAGCAAAATAGATCCCAGCCTTATTTTAATAATTATTATTGAACTTTATTGATCTCACATTGGAGAAATTTAGGGTTAGTCTTAAAAACATGCCATGTTTAACACTTAATGTGTCTAAAAAAAAACGACTTTCATCAACAGACCAACGAGCGAACTCTGATTAAAACAGGAAATCAAACATTGTGATTGGCTGTAAGGAGAACGGAGCCAGAGGACACTGCTAGTTTACTGAAGAAAACCAGTTGCTAACCAGGTTAGCTCTGGGTTAAGGCTGTTACCATGGCGACAGAAACAGAGGATGAGGAAACTCTCTGTCAAATGGAAAACTCTGAGTTTCAGGGTTAGAAAGAGCATTCCTACAGACGCACAGTAACTACTGACACATGGACTGAAAATTACCATAAACTATCTTTCATTTCTGCAACTCTGCACTAAATGATGCATTTGAACTTGTATCTCATGTCCTGTTTGCAGGGCTGTTCAAAGAGAATGTGCCAAAAACTGCTGGGAATATCAAGAAAGTGCTGATTGTAAAACTCAGGGTTTGGAGTTGATTCATCGCTGCTTTTTACTTGGTTGGTATTTTTCACTAATCGTGGTTCCTACATTGGGAAACGTGGATTCACCAAGATGAACTACGGTGTTCTAAAACTCATCCTCCCCAATAAAGGGTTAGAAAAACACAGGACCTGGCTGAGAAACTTGTGAAGTGCTTCAAACCCTCAGGTCTCCAGGGCCGGTTGGAAAGATTCGCTGGAAAGAAGATGGAACTCCAGATACAAAATGCTAGATTCTGCACTGTCCCAGCATGAGGCTAACCGTACTGCTAAACAGTTCCCAGTATGACAGGATCCCACAGATGAAGGTGGACAATTTAAAGACATTAGTTGCTTTCCTGAAAGTCTCTAAAGATGTAACAAAGGATGATGAGTCCTGCAGTGTCGCTGCATCACTTGTTCTCCTGGTTGATCCTAACAGCAAGCAGCTCAGCATCCATATAGAATCAACCACAGCGCGTCTCTAAACATGCCGACCCAAATGGAGGAGACCAACAAATCAACAGTATGTATTTAGACAAATAATGCATAAAAAAACATTAAAATATGTCCTCAATTTTATGAAAGTAGAAAACAAGAGCTATGCATTTAATTTGTTTTATAGAAAGTGTAATAAACAGCAGAGAGGGTTTCTGAATGTTTGGTTAGAAAGTGTTAGAAAGTGTCTCTGGTGGCATTCTGGAGGAGAGGCACACAAACCTGAACCCTGAGACATTCAGCAATGTCCTGCTTCTAATCATTAGCATAAAGAAATAATGTTTACGCGTTTAAATCGCCTCTTTCATTGGTCAGACAAGTTTCGCTTTAGCTCACTTTGTGGCTTTAGTTTCGGTCATTTTATAAATTCCTTTTAGCCTCCATATTTTATCTGGTTCACTCTCATTTCTTTTAATATTTCAGAGCCCTACCATTTTAAATAGGAAACTGTCTTTACAAGAGATAATAAATAATTTTTTTTATTTCTTCACTTCTTAATTCTGTAATAAATACAAGAAATAACTGGATGAATGAAGCTCTGCTTTTTCTCATAGTAGCTTTGCCTCGTCTGTTCCTGTTTGGCTGTGACTCCATCCTGGAGAGAAA